AGTGTGAACTGCAAACTGGTTTCCACATTCAGTGTCTCATAATCGATCAGGCTTGCTTTGACCAATGCAGTGTGAACTGCAAACTGGTTTACACATTCAGTGCCCGATCAGCAGTCAGGCTTGCTTGATCTGCTGACGGGTCGTTCTCATCCACTGGGGCATCACCATTATGCACCTTGATCAATCCACTGCCATGGTGGCGAGATGTTAACTACCTTGCCTGGTGTACGAGAAATCGGGAGTTCGATCCAGACCATAACGCCTGTATATTTGGAATTTGCATGTTCTCCCCGTAGTCGCGTGGATTATTCGACGGGTCTTCCGGTTTTTCCCTCCACATTTAGAATCAACGCGCGTTTTAGAGTATTTGGCTGATATAAATTTCCACGTGATAAGCCACTTTGTTGAGCTATCATTTGTGGCCAGATCGTGTCTGAAAAAGAGCTATATAGTTCAGTGGGCCTTACCTGGCAATAAACTTAAAATAGGATGAAGGCCTTCCCACCCAAGCCGTAGCCTACTCTCACAATCCTGTGATGTAACGCTCCGTCTGGCTCCCGCACATGAGCTCATTTCATCGCTCCATTTCAGCAGTGGCCACCCTCATGGGTGTTCACCGTCCATTGGCTGCCACTCAACTATTAGTCTTGACCCACTGGTCATCATCCTGTCTAGCGGACGTGTACTGCCCAACCCTGGTTTTTTTCATTCAATCTCAAATGTAAAGCGAACCGCTATGACAGTCAGAATGCTAAATCAATTAAGGAAATATAATCATTAAGAATGAAGTAGAAAGGAGTAAACTAAACCCATCCGTTAGACGAACGCAATGCAAACGGGGTTAGTAGTGGAGCAGATAACATGAAACAAGCACCAAATTTGGCAAGTATTCACTCCGCGGGGTCACTTAAAAGGGAAAAAAAATGTTACCCACCGAAAAAATAAAAGATGTCCGCCAAAACGGCGGCCATCTTGGAAAAAAATGGTGGACAATTTAGATTTTTTTTCGGTGGCAAACTTTTCTTATTTTAAAAAATACACCATTGTGAATATCTCTGGCGAGTTTCGTGCTTGGATCGCAATTCAAATAATTATACAATTTAATTAGGTTAAACCAGTCCTGTGGAAAAAAATTCAGTCATATGCTTCACTCTTAGGAGCAGGAAGCGGTTACGTGTTTGAGAGAGTCCTCTCATGCCACAGTCACCACGAGGAAAGAGGGCGCGCGCATTCGTGCGCCTTCAACCTTCAAAACTATGAGCATTTTTTTTTATTTTACCAGGTAAGGCCTACCGAGCTATACAGCCTCTTTTTCAGAAGCGACCTGGCTATCACAATTGATAGCTCAATTAAGTGGCTTATCATGGGGAAATTTACGGCAGCCAAATATTCTCAATGCATGTTGATTATAATTGTGGAGGGAAAACAGGAGGACCGGGAGAAAAATCAACGCGACCACGGGGAGAGAGAGACGCGCAAACTCCAAATATACAAGAGCAGGCGTCTGGGTCAGGATCGTCCTACCTTTCTCCTACTTTCCACCCTCACCTGAAACTTCTCAACTTTGACCTCAAATTTACTTCTCACCCCTAAGTTATCACTACTCTCCAACCTCTAACCTCTTACTTTTAAAATTAGGTGGTGGCGGGTTTAACGACACATTTATAACCTCAAAAAACCCTTTATTATGGCTAAAAATTTTAACTTTTGACCTCCAACCTTTGACCCCCCAATGTTCTCAATTACAACTCTACATGCCCAACCTCTCAACGCCAACCTCTAACCTCCAACCTTTGACATTCAATCTCCTATCTCTGCAGACGGTCAAGCTTCTAGCTTCGAACCTTGAACCGTTCACATTCACGACCGATTCTGACTTGCAACTCATCTCGCACGCAAAACCTTTGACATCGCAACCCACTGACTCAACGACTCGTAACCTTCGACCTGTAATTTGTCCTCTTGTATTTCAACTTCAACCCGTAACCTTTAACCGACTTCGAACATTCAACGACCCATTTCGCGGTCGATAAAACGACCATTTCTCAACCCCTGTCTGGGCTCTTGTACAGGCGACCGCAGGTAAGCCAAGCAGGGTCGCGCCATGCAGATCGAGTGGCTCACATGCGGAGCGACGCAGCCATGATGGGGTGTAGCGACGCACGTCCCTTGCACTGCAAGGGGGGCGGGAGGGTGGTGACGCATTGGGAAGGAGGGTGGTGGCGCATCGGGGAGCAGGGTGACGCATTGGGAAGGAGGGTGGTGCATTGGGAAGGGGGGGGGGGGTGGTGGTGGCGCGTTGGGAAGGAGCGTGGCGCATTTTGAAGGAGCGTGGAAGTGCATTGGGGAGGTGGTGGTCGTGAGGTCATGGCATACAGGGACTGCGGTGTAGAGATGTTGGAAGCAGGCAGGAGGTGATAATTGGAGAGCGGAGCACGGCAGACCAAGAGAAGAGGCGCGAATGACAGCAATCATGATGGTGGGAAACGCTGTCCAACGACTACTTTGAACGACCGCCCGGCGTTCGACTTTCACCCTCGACACGTCACGGTACACGCGGCCTCTCTCTCCCCGTTCACCGTCCCTCCGAGCTGCCCACCACAAGTTGGTCATTGCGGGTGGGTGCTGGACCAGGCGTTAACGCCCCAGCCCTCACGATGCGTTTCATCAGGTCGCACATCGCGCGTTGCTCTGCGCGACGCCGTTTCACTTCGCTCGCTGGGGGAACACGCCGTCCTTCAGGAAACCGAATTGAGTTCCCGTACTGTGGCGGTGCACAAACGTACGCACTGGTCGATAACTCCCGTCGCGCCTGTGCTCCCCACTGCCGGAGTGTGCCCGGTTTTTATGAAACGCTGAAAAAAAAAAGTTGATTGTGCAGCAGGTCGTGGTAAAACTGAAATTAATTAATTTGCCGTTTGTCTTCTGAACTACAAAAAGAATCAAATATTTCCGCTCGCATCAGTGAATTCGATTTGAAGTTTAAAATATACGTATATGCTCAATATATCCAACTCGAGTTATGGTTCTGTTTTCCGTTTATTCATGATTATATTGTCCGTAACTTGCCGTGTGCGTTTACACGCTTGCAGCGGTTGGCGCGCTGCGCTACGAACCCGACGACCCCGGGGGCTTGATTCGCGCTCACGGCCAACGCCGGCGACGAGTATCCGAACCGGCGCTGGCACCTCCTCCCCCTTAGGTCGACCTCGGCCTCAGCACAAGTAGCTGGCGCAGCGGTGTAGACACTTCTCGCCAGCATTGGGGAACATTAACGGGATGATACTTTCCAGCCGTGCAGCTTAGAACGCGAATCTACCCCCCACGCAACGCTTGCCTACGACCTCTCCAGAATCATTCGGTGTTGCAGTGGAAACATATACAGGGCGGTCTCCGGTTTACGACGATCCACATTTATCACGTTCACATAGCGCCACCGCGCGCCGATGAACGACGCAAAAAATGTATTTACGACGCATCTCGCTGAACATATTTGAAACAGAGTCGGTCCCGGTTTCCGATGCGACTCGGCGAGGAGGTTTTGTTTTTCTCGAGTTTTTTTGTTTGTGGATTTGTTTTGTTACCTATTAAAAACCGTGTTCAATTTGGCCGATAAAAGGGGGAAGAAAAAATAAACATCGGCGTTTCTCCTGCTCCGACTGTCTATGGGAAAATAGGATCCGATTTAGGACGGGGTTTTTCCAGGAGCGCGTTGTGACGTCGTAAAAGCGCGGAACCGCCTGCAGGTACTTTTTTTAAATCGCGGTTGCCGGGTGCAGGCCCAAAGACCCAAAAAGTGGGCGGAAGCAATCAGCACTCTTAAAAAGGTGTCATAGATAAGAGTATACACGTCTCTTGAAGTGAGAAAGGTTACATGGACATGGGAAAAGACAAAATGGGAGCGAGTTTAAAAGTGTTTCGCTAAGATACGGCAGCAGCTTTGTTAGCTAGGGCCCCAATGCTTTCCGCGGTTCTCTGCTCTTGCCCATAAGACCTGGGGGGTCGGATTCGCCTTTTTGAGGACGCACCCTGCTGAGAAGGCTCTACGAAGTCAAAACCAATCCGAGGCATCTGCCCAAAACAATAGGGCACCCAAGTGGAGCGAGCTCTATGGGCCACGCCTTGCTGACAGCGAGCAAACTTCGCGAAGATGAAGCCGGCCAAAGCCTGTCTCTTCTTTTATTTAAACAGAGGCCAATGCTTGGAGAAACATTGAGGTTCCATAACGGGAACCTACTTGATGTACTGCTACCTACAGGCTCCACATAGCTACACTGTAAGTAATTAATTTGCATGTACTCTGACGATATTGCACCATTGTTCCTCGTCGGGGCTACGATTCAAATTCAAGAATCAGATTTGTTTGCACTTTCACCGTCTCATTGCCACCGTTGCTGAGTTTCCTTCTGTCTCCTGTGCACACAGTTTAGTTAAACCAATAAGTGTCCAAGTGTACCATTAGAATATAATTCGCACAATAATGTGCATTAATTTTATTCGACTGATTGTGCAGGTACGCGATTCAATGTACGGATGGATCGCAAGCGGAAGAATCAATTTTAAATCGACGGATCGACACGTCGTTAACATGACCAGGCAGTCGCCCGCACACGACGCCTCCATCTTTATGCGATCCACCAACCCCTCCCCCCCCTCTAAGGTGTGCATTACTAACACCGGAAAACAAAATCAATAAAACTCCCACACCACCTCCATCCTCATCTCGCTCACTACCCACCCCCCCCCCCACACACAACGTCCCCACCACCCCCCTACCTCTGTCGGCCAAACCAGGGGGGGTGGGGGGGGGGCCATGCGGACCCTGGGAGTGAGGATTCGGGGTAGGGACGGAATGACCTGTATGCCGCAGAGAGACGAGGGCACGGTGAAGGAAGCGATGGCCATAGGGCAGAAGCTGGAGCGAACGAGCGGGAGGGGCAGTCGGGCGAGCAAGCAGGACACAAGCGAGTGGAGCAGCAATGGAAAATGCCTTTTTCTACCTTCGATGATGAAAGCCCTGCATGAGAATGGGGCTCCTGGCAACACATACAGGACACAACGGGGTGGGGGGGAGGAGTCAAGGAGCCGGAAAGCGACAGGCGTGAGCTCGTCCCGTGGCGAGGAGAGGCAGGCAAACAAGGCTTCGCTGCCCGACGTGTCAACGCTTCGCGTGTTGACGTCATGTTCAAAGACTTGGCGGCTTTGGTGTTTATGTTTTTAATTTTTTTACACAAGTTCTCTCGTACGGTAGACTCATCGATTAAATCTCTCCTCGGTCAACCGCAAAGCGACCGCGAGCTCACCGGTGGTAGTTCGTGGGTGTACGGGAGGAACAAGCGGAATTTGGAGACCGATGTCTCAACCTGTCACTTAACCCATGCACCGCACCCATCATCCCCGCCCGTCCCCAACACCACCACCCTCCTCAGCTCATTCGAACCCAGGCATCCTCCTCACTCAGATCCACCCCCACTTTATTTGCCTCTGCCCACGCCTTCCCACCCCTAACTCTAATCTGAACCAATTATTTGGTGATTACGCAGCTGCTGTGTTGGCAGCGGTGCACAAGCACAATTAACAAATAACTCGACGCATTGCTCAATAACACTAGACGGCCTTAAAAGGGAAAATATATATAATAGGCGACATTTCCGGCAATGGTGCTTCTTTACCGCATTCGATATTTATGTCGCCTATAGTTAAAAACTTTTTTTTCCCTTTTATGGACACTGTTGTTGACGGAATGTGTCGAGTTCCTTGTTCCAACTCCATGCTCTCCTCCACCCACAAGGCCCCCCAAGGACCTCCCCCCCGCTCGCTGGCATTTGCGGAGTGGGGGGGGGGCTACCTCCCTCCCTCCCCCCACCCCACCCCCGCGTCGGTCGGCTTGTGTCCATCTCCACGCACTCCCTGCAACCGGCTTGGTCTGTTCGCGCGGGACGCGTGGAACGGCCGCGCATCAACTACGTGTCCGTACGTTGAACTTCTTTCACACCGGACGTAACGGACCGTACACTAATCGGAGGTCGGCACGGTAGATTCACGTGCTCGCAACGCGCGCCGTGACTTCGTGCGCGAGAGGCCATCGAATCCCCACTCGTGCGCGCCGTACGTAGCAGCTGACGCTTGAAGCGGAACCGTCGTGACCCACTCCCCCGTGAAGTGGAACGATGCGCCGAGTAGATGATGGGGATGAACCGTGACGAGATTGCCCTGCTACCCTCTCCCTCCACCGGCTCGGGCACCTTCCCGGCCACCCCTTCCCATCGCCACCCACGTACCGCTCTCCCTCCTCTTTCCCATCCGCCACAACCGATCATATACGTACGTGCGTGCGTGGGTGTGTGTGCGCATATTAGTCTTTGCTTAGTCGCAGAAACTTCTCACTTACCACCCCCGCCCTCTCCTCCCCCACAATCCCCGCCCCCGCCCCCCCCTACCGAGAGTCTGCTGCTGTTATCGTCCCATCGACATCGTCGGGGTTCTTGGCACCTGTTTTTTCCTTAAATTCGCACTGCCTCCCCACCCTCTCTCTCTCTCCCTCCATCCCTCCCTCTCTATCGCCGCCTGCTGCGAGCGTGGGAGTTGGGGGTACCGTGAGCGAGGAGCTGCGTGCGTGCCTCGCCGCCCGTACCTTCCATGGGCGTGTTGGTGTCGGGGCGGTTTGCGAACACCACGTCCACGTAGTCCAGCTGCAGCCTCTGCAGCGACGTTTTCAGCCCTGGGCGCAGGAAGGTGGAGTGGGGAGAGGAGGGGGGGGTGGGGTGGTGGCGGAGCTTTTTAAGAAGTAACCAATCGGGCGGTGGGCAGCGCGTTCGCCGCTCGGTTGCCGAGGTTCGCGGTTGGAAGCGACCAGGCCACCCTGGTTACTACTGCCGCGTGTATTTACCACGCAACACGTCCCCGTCCGCTGCGCGGTGGACGTTACGGACCCCCTGACGTCGTTTAGAACGAGTAGGTTATCGCGCTTGCCCGCGTCATGGCGTAAGTATGTTGAATGTCATTCGCACCGTACGTATCCAACCCCGCGAATCGATTTGAAATATCACACCGCAGGTCACTCGATTTGGATTACACACCGCGACATCTCCCCCTTACCGCGAGGGTTACTGCGGACTGCCCGCAAAAGGTTGCACATTCGCGATAGCCCTTGCGCTATGAGTATGGTGTGCATACCAAATGTACTAAACGATAAGACTATTAACGTAAAGTGCCCTCCACAGAGTGCGTGAACATAGCGGGCGGTTAGTCAGGTCTCGCGTTGCTTGCATGCCCGGTGCTGTGTGCACACCGGCACAAGTGCATGAACAATAGGAACGAGCAACACGATAGCACTTTTGGTAATTAATTTAAAAAGTATCAGCACCGTTACAGCCAATATGCCTGCAAGTGCCGCGTAGCCACAATTGGCTTAGGATTGTATTGGAAATGCCAAATTGTCAGAGCCAAACCAAGCAGTTCAAAAACATATTTGCAATGTGCCAAAAACATTATTGAGTTGTTCTATTCGTAATACTTTGATCATTTAAGGACTCTGTTACCCAATAGCTACTGCCTATTTATAACTGGTCATCAGAACACAAGTGCAGCCTCCACTTATTAACATCCACGCTGTCTCGACTGGCCTCACTATTGATTTGCGGTGAAGAAATGGCTTTTTAATGTCACTGTTATTGACGAATGTGTTGAGATTTCTGTGAAATTCCTTTAATTATTGGGAACAACTAAGACTAAACTAAAACTTTTTTTATTCTACCAGGTGAATCCTACAAAGCTATTAGCTCTTATCAGAGGTGACTGACCACAAATAATAGCTCAACGAAGTGGCTTATCAGGTTGACATTTATAGCAACCAAATAATCTAAGGGCATGTTTTGAAATGTGGGGAGAAAAACCTGGAGGACCCGGAGAGAAATCCACGCGACCAAGGGGAGAGAGAGACACCGCAACTCCAAATATATAGCAATAGGCGTCAGGGATGGGATCAAACCCACGACCTCCTGTATACCAGGCGAGGTAGTTAACATCTCCGAGCCACCGTGATGATGATGAGAGAGACACGCAGACTCCAAATATACAGCAGGCATCGTCAGGGTCTGGATCGAACCCACGACCTCCTGTATACCAGCCGAGGTAGTTAACATCTCCTCGCCACCGTGATGATGATGATGAGAGAGACACACAAACTCCACAGAAACAGCAGGCATCGTCAGGGTCTGGATCAAACCCACGACCTCTTGTATACCAGGCGAGGTAGTTAACATCTCCTCGCCACCGTGATGATGATGAGAGAGACACACAAACTCCACAGAAACAGCTGGCATCGTCAGGGTCGGGATCGAACCCACGACCTCCTGTAGACCAGCCGAGGTAGTTAACATCTCCTAGCCACCGTGATGATGATGATGATGAGAGAGACACACAAACTCCACAGAAACAGCTGGCATCGTCAGGGTCGGGATCGAACCCATGACCTCCTGTAGACCAGCCGAGCTAGTTAACATCTCGCCAACGCGGTGCCCCTTATCCAGCTGCCACGGCTGCCTTGTTGGCTACCTTCGATGATGTGCTTCCTCGACAGCCCTCGTTCCGTCTCGGCTCTGTGTTGTACAAAAGAGAGACAATGTCAGCGTTTACTATTTCACTCGGGCACAACCCGAAATGGATGCATATATTACACAGACTAAAATCCCCCGTATAACCTTCGCAGACTGTTGTGGCAAATGCTGTTAGCGCGCACCTACGAAGGATCGAACGGCACACGAGGGGGGCGGTGGCCAGCACAATAGATGGTGCGCGGAAGGGTGAAGTAGGGGAGGGACGATAGCGATGATAGTCAGTGGGTTCATAGTGCAGTACACAACCCAATGCACCGCTGTTCCGCACGCACGCGCGCGCGCATATTTGAACAAGTAGTCTTGCGCGCACACTCAAGCACAGGAACCCACGCATGAAACACCTTCTGTCATTCCGTGCGAACGCACACACAATACACATGTCCTGTACATGTGCGCGTGAACAGACAGCCCTTTGTCAATCCACTGCTCGATGAGCGTTTCTGTGCCGTACGAGTTTTTGGGGATATTTTGCGATACTTATCCACGCCGGTCAGTGTGGGCTTGGTGAAGGCGGAGGGGGGAGCAATAGATGTGGGAGCAAAGAAGTATAGTACGACAATTGATGTTTCTTTGCTGCCACCGCCCTCCGCAGCATGCCATCGCCCCCCTTCATTGCAACATCAACGTTTACAACGGAGACTGAATGCCGGGGTGTGCGAGAAACTGGTATGGCTCACTCACTTTCCTCCCCAGTAGATTTTCGTTGTGATGACGAGGCTGGACCTCCTGAGGAGAGAACAAAGCGACGGGGCGACAGTTTTAGTGACGTGGGGGGAGAATGGTGGGGGTGGAGACAGCAGAGAGACGGGTTTTAACTGGGAAGTTTATTTTGTTTAACCTGGTCGAGAACTCGAGAGACCAATTGCCGTTGCACGCCAAGTTGCCGTGGTCGCTCGCGGTTAACGCGTTTGCCGGCGACAGTTGCCGGCAACGATTGCCCTAAAATGTCCCGAGCGGATCGTGGCCTTTTAGGAGACCCCCTCTCCCTGGTGCTCAAACCCCCGACTGGAAGGGCCGGACGCGGGCCCGTCTGAACTCCCCGAGTCACCCGCGCAGCAACTGAATCAACGTTTTGAGTGACAAACTGCGGCTTTACGCTCCTCTGTCGTGCCACGATTTTGGCAAAAAGTTTCGGAACTTAGGGGTTTTACGCTCCTTTTGACAAATCAGATTTGCAACGTACTCTGCCTGAAGAGCTGCAGTGCCTGACCGCTGATATTCTGCCAAGTAGAAAGAAACTAAAAATCCTACTTAGTTCCTATGATATGTTTTCGCTCCTCCCATTATCACGGTTGGCTACGTACGGAGCGAAAGAAGTTCAACATACAGTCGTATACCTTGGTATACCTTGGTATACGACCGCTTTTGAATACGTCGCATTTGGTATACGTCGTGTTTTGACGAGAAAAAAATGTCTTGGGATACGACGTCTTGCTTGGGATAGGACACCTCGCTTGCTAGAACTTGTATGGGTCAGGATGAGTCACCGCGTACAGTACCCGCGTACACAATACTGTTACGGCTCTAACAAGCCGTAACAGTATTGTGTGGAATGACCAGGCAATATCACACTTCAGGAACATTCTTAGAAGGCAAAAACAAACTTCAATGGACAAGGTTTTTAGTAAAACTCAAACCTGGTGAGCCTCAAACAGGTCCAAGTCAAGAAAAAAGACAGATAAGAGAAAGAACCCCAGAATTTCAGCTTCCTCAAGTTTTAATGGAAGAGGACTCTCGTTACAAAAAATAACATCTCCTCCTCCTCCCCTTCCTCGCCACCATCTTCGTAGGCTATCAACTCCTCTCAACAAGGCAAAGTGATGTTACATTTTATTTTCATTTCAATTTAATCTATTTTAGCATTTATGTTAATGTATGTATGCATTTTAGTAATAAGTAGTGTCTACATTATGTTATACAACCACATTAACGTATAATATGCCATATAAAATATAACTTCTTATACTCTGGAACGGATTATTTCCTTTCCCTTCATTTCTTATGGAAAAAATTCGTTTGGTAGACGTCACTTTCGGTATAAGTCCTCCTACCTTCTGGAACGAATTAACGATGTATACCGAGGTACCACTGTATATGTCTCCAACTCGAGATACATATTTTTTTTCTTTCTCTCTCTGTACGGCGGCTCTGAAGCTCTTCGCCGAGTCTGTTGCGCCGAATACAAACGCAAAGAATAATAAAACAAGTGCCAGAGACGTGCGGGCACGCTGACACGATGCAGCGCTACCACGCCGCGTGGGACACCACCAGGGGTCAGCGGCGCGCCATTGCGCCACGCGGCAGCGAGCGTGGCGAAGTGACGGCTAGCCGGCTTCACGTGCCGATTTTACCGACGGACGTCGATTCTTCCGTATGCATGCACGCCGAACTTCTTTCGCACCGTACGTAGCCAGCCGCGCTAATCCGAGGAGCTCGATGGGGTTTTGAATTTTTTTAGTGCGGTTATTTGGCGACTGGGAAAAACGTTACATTTTGGACATTTAATTGGCGAACATTTAATTGGCGAACGGACTCTAACGTGCTGGGGTTATTTTGTTTGCATGTGCAGTTATTGGTGACCAAACCGGTACCATCGACTCGCCACACAGAACCCGGTTTAATCACAGGCGACTGAGACCCAGAATTCAAACCCAGGATCTCAGCGGTGCTGCCTGGGCGCTCAACGACTTGTAAATGGATTGCTGTCAGCCCTGACTAAACAATTTATAATTTTGCCAGGTAAGGCCCATTGGAGCTATCGGCTCTTTTTCAAAAAGCCACCTGGCTACAAATGACAAAAGTGGCTTATCATCACGTGGAAATCTACAGCAGCCAAATACTCTCAACACGTGACGTCGATTCTAAACGTGGAGGGTAAAAACCGGAGGACCGGGAGAAAAATCCACGTGACCACTGGGAGAGAGACGGAACATGCAAATACACAGGCCAGCAGCGAGCAGTGATGGACGGACGAGACGATCCGACGATTACCTCCAGCCTTTCTTCTTAATGATGTTGCCCAAGATAACCTCGGCCCTATTGCGGGCGGGAGAGGAGAGATCACAACGGAACAAAGGACAATCGTGTCAGCAGTAGCGACAGCAGACAGGCAGATCGGCAAGGCGGGCAAAACACACAAAGTCGTCCTAAAGAGTAAAGGAGCAGCCCACCAATTACTTGCCACGACGTCGCCGCTGGCGGAAGAGCCTCGACTACTTAGCCCCTCGAGACGGTGCTCGGCCTACTCTTCCACGCTGCCTCAGGGAGGCATCCTTGACGAGATGAGAGTACCCACACTTTACCCAAGTGCACGCGACCTGCCGACTGGACTGCAGCTGCGCCCTATTTATGCCGCTGGGGTATTTAGGAAATTTTTCACCGTTGCTTTACGCGCCGCGCCGGCAGAGGACGCTGCCGCGGTGCAACGGTGAGGGCCACTGGATTCCTGGATGTCGCCGGCTTCGATCTCCACTTCACCCGGCGCCTGGCGCACGAGCGTATTTCATCGCTCCATCTCCTCGGTGGACGTTCACTCCGTCGCTATTCTCGACCATCGGCCATCGTCCCCCTTCCTTCTGGCCGTGATACATTGCTGCCCAAGCCCCACTTCATTGCTTTCATCAACAGTTTTAATTGTCCTGCACCTGCGCAACATTCTCCTAAGCCAGCCACCACGTGATACTTCCCTTTTGTGTTCTGCCTAACTCGAGATGAGCTCCTTCTCATCACGAGCCTGCGGTGAGAACACACCTCAACGTCACGCAGTGCGCGAGACCATGGCTGAAGACAGCCGCGTGAAGGCACGTTAAACATTTTTCTTTCATTTCAATAGATCTTTCGAAACCCGAGAGGGCCTACTCTACGTGGAAATACTGCCGAGCACTGCAATACTGAGCTACGGGGCGACCAACGCCGGCGATGTCGTCATCGCAGCATTTGGCGCCTGCGATGCCCCGATAGGGGAGAGAAGGCGGCCCCCCGTTTGTCGCCGCTAAATGGGACTGCCACGACGACCCGTCGCGACGACAAAAAACATTTAGCCAAGCTCGGATAACGCGCGCTCCCGGACAAGCGGCCGTCCAAGCGCCGGCCGTGTGGAACACCGCTCACGGCGGTTTCCGAAGCGCTTGTTTCAAAGCGTGGTACACGTACGTATGTTGAACTTCTTTCACAGCGTTGCGTAGCCAACCGTGCTAAATCGGAGGTGCGGTTACCATTAAGGCTGCCTCCAAAACCATCAAAGCAGCGCGACTCTACCTGCCGAGAGAAAGAGCAGCAAAACGCAAGCCTCGAGTAAAAAAGCCAAACAATCGCTGCCAAAACACACGGCAATCAATTGCAGTTTTGATTTGCGTTCACAAACCGACCGCGTCTGGGAGACGCCGTACAAACAGGGCCCCCCCCCGCCCCCCCGGTGGTTCCAGATCCCCTGGTATTTGAGGGGCGTCAGTCGAGCAGTTGTGTTTGGGCGGGGGGAGGGGGGGCACCGTGACAGTGACTGGCCGTTACGGAGAGTGAACTTTGGTGGTGGGGGGCGCGAAGGGAAAATTTGGGGATGCATGGCACAACTCCAACAGCCCTCTAGCGTTGGAGCCCTGTGTACCATCGGGCAGTGGGGGGCAATCCGCACATCTGGAGAGTTTGGAGGATGCCCTTTGGGGCAGGGAACGAGAGGTAGAATTGGCACAGGGGCAGGGAAGGGAGTCGAGATGACTGCGAGAGAGATGAGTGACCCCGCGAGGTAGAGGAGTGACCCCACGAGGTAGATGAGTGACCCCACGAGGTAGAGGGGTGACCCCACGAGGTAGAGGGGTGACCCCACGTGGTAGAGGAGTGACCCCGCGAGGTAGAGGGGTGACCCCACGAGGTAGAGGGGTGACCCCACGAGGTTGAGGAGTGACCCCACGAGGTAGAGGGGTGACCTCACGAGGTAGAGGAGTGACCCCGCGAGGTAGAGGAGTGACCCCACGAGGTAGAGGAGTGACCCCGCGAGGTAGAGGAGTGACCCCACGTAGTAGAGGAGTGACCCCACGAGATAGAGGAGTGACCCCACAAGGTTGAGGAGTGACCCCACGAGGTAGAGGAGTGACCCCACGAGGTAGAGGAGTGACCCCACGAGGTAGAGGGGTGACCCCACGAGGTAGAGGGGTGACCCCACGAGGTTGAGGAGTGACCCCGCGAGGTAGAGGAGTGACCCCACGAGGTAGATGAGTGACCCCACGAGGTAGAGGGGTGACCCCACGAGGTAGAGGAGTGACCCCGCGAGGTAGAGGGGTGACCCCACGAGGTAGAGGGGTGACCCCACGAGGTTGAGGAGTGACCCCACGAGGTAGAGGGGTGACCTCACGAGGTAGAGGAGTGACCCCGCGAGGTAGAGGAGTGACCCCACGAGGTAGAGGAGTGACCCCGCGAGGTAGAGGAGTGACCCCACGTGGTAGAGGAGTGACCCCACGAGATAGAGGAGTGACCCCACAAGGTTGAGGAGTGACCCCACGAGGTAAAGGAGTGACCCCACGAGGTAGAGGAGTGACCCCACGAGGTAGAGGGGTGACCCCACGAGGTAGAGGGGTGACCCCACGAGGTTGAGGAGTGACCCCACGAGGTAGAGGGGTGACCCCACGAGGTTGAGGAGTGACCCCACGAGGTTGAGGAGTGACCCCACGAGGTAGAGGGGTGACCCCACGAGGTAGAGGAGTGACCCCACGAGGTTGAGGAGTGACCCCACGAGGTTGAGGGGTGACCCCACGAGGTTGAGGGGTGACCCCACGAGGTTGAGGGGTGACCCCACGAGGTTGAGGAGTGACCCCACGAGGTTGAGGAGTGACCCCACGAGGTTGAGGAGTGACCCCACGAGGTTGAGGAGTGACCCCACGAGGTAGAGGAGTGACCCCACGAGGGACAGAATCCGTCGTGGGCAGCAGAGAGAGGGAGCCAGAAATCAATCGCTGATGACAGATTTAGCGGCAGGGATTTTTTATTTTCTCTCCAACCGCTGACCTGGCATGTGCGGCTGCCCTACTTTTAATTTACGTGCCATCTCAGAACGTGCTTCAGATTTGAAATTGCAAGGGTCGGTGTGTTGTTGTGGCTTAAGGGGGTTTGTTTTTTTTTTTCGTGGACCGTGAAGCTCACGGGAAATAAACGAGCTAAGCCCAACAGCACACCTATTAATCCACTGCTGGATGGAGGCCTACGACCCCCAGCCGCGTCGTTCACGGGAATCGTTTGACCATATTTTATTGCGCTGTTCCAAACTAAAACTCAACTTTTTTTATTTTACGAGGTAAGGCCCAATCTTTTTCACAAGCGACCCGGCCACAAATAATAGCTCAATGAAGTGGCCAAGTACTTGAAACGCATGATGTTGATTCTAAATGTGGAGGGAAAAACCGGAGGACCCGGAGAAAAATCCACACGACCACGGAGAGCGAGAGAGACACCGCGAACCCCAAATATAAAGGCATCGTCATGGTTGAGATCGAACCCACGACTCCCTGTATACCAGGCAAGGTCGTTAACATCTCGCCACCGTGGCCAATAAGGGTGGGGGAGAAAGGGGGAGGAGAGGGGTGGGACAGGCCCAGGTACGGTTCAGATGTCACTCGCCACTGGTGTTAGCTGTGTCCAGCAATCAGACTCGGGTAAAGCGGGATTCATGTCGCAACCACTCTGGCCACCGTTGCCCATCAACACTATTCACAGGTCAGAAAACAAAGGTTGCGGGATTTTAAAGTCTGCTTACGGGACATCCCTAGAATGAACGAACCCCCTCTCCCTTTATAAAATACCCGAAGCGAACATTTATATGCTGCGGAATGTTTTCAGTCTTATTTAAAACTCAAAAACCGTTTCCACCGTGCCAAATGTTTGCGCTCTATTTGCTCTCCCGTGCTCCCTTGAGGCCAATTCCATGCTCTCGTGTATCGCTTGACATTTCCATATGGCCTCTACGCCCACATTGCTCTCTCTCTGTGTTGATGTAAATTCTGGAGGGGATGTGGGGGGCTCATTACCAACTCAACTCCGATTTACACCAAGCGGCGCTGTTGCTTCCCCCATTGCCGGTATGCCCCACCACTCCTAATTTTTGTTCGTGGCAAATTTAAACGCACGGCTGACCTATTGAGTATGCAAAACCTATTTCGCACCGCACGTAGCCAAGCGCGCTAATTAAACACTTGGGCGCCGACGCGACCCATGATCTATCCACTGCTGGCCAGTAGGCTTCCTTCGCCCTGAGCCGCGGCCGCCGTCGCCGTCGTCTGTCGGCCGGTCCCCCCCGCCCCCCCGCGTTGCAGCGCCCTGGCTCACGAGCCCATCTCGAGGCTCCATCTCCGCGGCTGACGGTCCTCTCCTCCAGCCAAAGCGAGGATTTAAAAACACTTCCGTCGTCCCGTCCCTTCCGTCAGGCGGTCGAGAACGATGGCGGGGCCAAATTAATTCCCCCCGCCACGGTTCTCGTTCTCTCTCCGGTCAGTTTCACCGCTTCGCTCGGCCTTGATCCTTTCTCCTCTACATTATTCACGGCTGCGCCCATCCTGCTCCTGTTTCCGTCCAACTTTCGTGTCGCATCTCGACGTATGAAATCCCATCCGGGTCCTTTCGCGTCGACGCTTAAGGGACTTTGTACGAATCGAATGTCGTTCCGAAATTAAAAGACTCCCCCCCTCTCTCCCCATCCCCCCCCCCCAGCAAAAAATAATAAACACCGATAAGTAAATAAACCACCTTCCATCTCCATTACGTCCGGGGTGAAGGGGGGTTAAGCGTAAGCAGCGGCGTTGACTTCTCCGCACGCTTCTCGCTTACCGCGACGCCTGCCCTTTCCCTGCCATGATCCCATAAATATTGTCCCGCCCTGCGCTCCCATTGGCGACGAGCCAGGGAGGGTGAGGAGGGAGGCAGAGAGAGAGAGGGAGAGAGACAGAGAGCGAGGGGGGGTGACGAGGTGGTCATTACCGCCCGAGATTAATCCCGACGCGAAAAACAAGCGAGTCATTCGGCCGCCAAAATATCACGGCGCGCGCGCGCGCAACAAAAGCGAGAGCGGCGCTCGACTTATTTTCCGCGGGCGTCATTAAAAATTGATATGGCTCCGTGTTTAAATGTAATTACTTAATTCCGTTTCGCGGCCGGTACCCCCTCCCGCCGCCCTCCTCCGCCCCCCCCCCCCCCCCCCACACATTGTTACGCCAAATGTCAAATTCAATCAGCGATTTAAAAGGTGCGGAATGCTGAGAGAGATCGCCGCTGCAGACGAGTTATTTTAAGCGCTCGGAGAAACGCGGGTTGGTTTGTAAGCAATTTCGTTTTAGTAACAAAGCGAGGATTTTATTTCTTGTGACCCGACAGCCGACCCTGCTAATGTTAATTTGCCGAGCTGAAATGTAGTCACGTAAAGTGCAGAACCAACCCTAATGTCACGGTGACCGGGCGTAGATCTTCGACTCGTTGAACCCCGTTTGAAATCACGGGTGGCCGAAACCCAGCTTTGAACCCAAACAACTCGGTGGTGCTGCTGGCTCAGCGCTCTGAACTCCGAGCCACCTCGGCCACATCTGTCGTCGTTTAAACTTGGCCACCAGAGGGAAGCTGGTGAAAGAGAGAGCGAGCTTCTCTGGCGTGGCATTTGGCCTACTCTTCCCCGCTGGCCAAAACGGGAACGCGCGAGAATTTAGAATTTCGCGAAACGACGTGCTGTTAAACGTCACGTAGTTTGACCGCCGCCGCGCTGATGAGGTTACTGACCTGCCGGGACGAAGGGAAATCTCTCCTTGGTTTGTTTACGCACGTACGGCGTAGCCGGGTTCTGCACGGTGTTCAGGGACAAACGATCAATCAGTGGCCCAAAGTTACCCGCGAGAGAGAGAGAGAGAGACAGGGCCAACGGTGGGCTCAATCCGTTGATGCCTCCACCCACTCCCCCCCACGTCGCCATCACCATTTCCCTTCCTCAACCCCTATTCCAGTGTTCGTGCTCATCGGCTTCACGTGACGAGCCCAAGCGAGTACGTGTCTATGTACGTTGAATGTAAGCCTCTTCGGAAATTAAAACGGTTGTCGCGACTTTATTGGGCAATAGACCAGGTTATATCTTTTTTTTCTAGACCTTCAAGGAGCAGGTTGTTTTTTTTTATGGGGATGCCGTGAAGTAACAAAAACTTCATCGAATATACAACCGAGTTGGACGTGTGTATGTTGAACTTCTTTCACACCGTATCTAGCCAGCTACGCTAAATGGAGGCGTTCGATGGGGGTTTTTTTCGCGCGGTTAATTGGCAACTGGCCAAACGAGTGTTCGTTGCTCTTAAGTTAAGCTTCAAACGTCAAAATTAGCACATTCAATTGACGAACGAACTAATACGAGGTGCGGGAGTATCCATTCGGAATTTTTTTTTTACAGAGCAATGGAAAACCCTTCGTGTTTAAAGAATGGCCTGTGTGAAAGCGGATACCAGGGAGTTACCACTGAGATGTCCCCCACCGCCCCTCCCTGTCAAGGGACCTCTGTTCTATACAGTAGGAGGGGCCCAACAGTCAGTTAAGGCTATACGGGGGATCTTTGTCTTTGTACGCGTGTGCGCGGACTTACGGGCGCGACCCAAGTGGCCCCGCGCACGGGTAAATCAGCGAGGATTTAAACCGCAAACAAATTTCACCCGGGGGACGCGGATTTTAAGCGACGAACGGAGCGTAGCCGAGATGTCAGGAGGCATGAGCGTGACTTGACTCGTGCGGCATTAGCCAGGGAAATTCAAACGCAGCAGCGGAAGCAGCAACAATAACAAAAAACGCAACAGCAATACCAACAAAAACCTATGCCAGCAGCAAAGCTGTTTTCCCCATCTCTGAAGATACGTTTGGCAAGGATCCGATGTGGCAGCCCATTTTAACCCAGCCCCCTTGGCTTAACCGTCACATCTATATATATAAAAAGTCAAAAATTGTCTGCTTGTGCGTTTGTGCGTGTTCGCGTGCTTGCGAACGATTTGCCTCTGCAACGCCGTAAGCCCCGCAAATGAGCAAGCGCTATTCCATTTTCACATCCGTCAACTTTAAATTAGTTTAATGAGTGATTTTGTGCGAGTTTTGTGCGCTTCCCTATTCTTCACTTATTTATTTATGACGCGTGCACGACCATACCAACTCGCGCGCCTTTGGTGGGGGGGGGGGGGGGACGGCCCTTGCCAAGTCGCACGCCTTCGGTGGGAGTGAGGGGGACATTTTCTTTCGTGTAAAACATGTTATAAAAATACACTAAACGCTGAGCTTAAATATTCATTGTTGTGATGTCCCCCCCCCCCCCCCACCCCGATGCGTGCAGTTACAACTATACAGTCGCTAGATGCTACCACTATAGGCCGTAGATATTACCGCAGAGCGGCCGGGGAGGTCGTGGCTGGGGGGGGGGGGGGAATCAGGGGTAGCAGCCCAGCCCCAGCCTGCCAAGGTGCCACCTCGGCCGGCTGGACAATCTAGGCGAGGCCGGAGGCTCTGCACGGGACTAGACCTCACCACGCCACTCTGTCAGGCGAGTACTTTGTGCTATACAGTCGATAAATACTGCTATAGAGTCAGCATGTACTACTATAGTGATAGCAGGTACCACAACAGTCGGTATGCACTGCTGTAATCATAGTAGGTACCACCACAGTCGGTATGCACTGCTGTAATCATAGCAGGTACCACCACAGTCGGTATGCACTGCTGCAGTGAAAGCAAGTACCACCACAGCATGCACTGCTGTAATCATAGCAGGTACCACCACAGTATGCACTGCTGTAATCATAGCAGGTACCACCACAGTATGCACTGCTGTAATCATAGCAGGTACCACCAATGTCAGTACGCACTGTTAGATTTTTAAGAGTAGTTTTGAAATATTTTTAAGACCCGGGCAACGCCGGGTACTTCCCGCTAGTCCCCTATAAGCGAGCACCTGAAGGTGCCTTTCCCCCTATATAGCCTTTAACAGACAGTTTGCGGCAAGTGCTGTTAGCGAGCACCTATGAAGGCCGGCACAGGCACACGAGGAGATGGGTGGCCAACACCACGCCCGACCGCCTTTGTCTCCCCAGCGGCGATGTTTTTTACACACCGCATCATTTTACACACCGACCTAGGTGAGGCCCAGAACTGGTTCAGACAATCATCACTGGTGTTTGCCGCGAGCGGAAATCGAACCCGAGTCGCCGGGTTGGTAGCGCAGTGCACCAACGGCTTACACTGCCAAGACTCCACAACACGCACACAGCTTATACATATAATATGCAAATTAGTTACATACATATGTAGTGACATCAGGGAAGTCACTGCATGGTGCCGGCTTGAGAGGGCCAGGGAACGCGATGCACCGTCATCGCATACACCCTGTGGGCGGATGTAGTACCAGCCCCTAAGCGGGGCTTGGTGAGTGCAGGCACCACGCATAGCGTGTGGTGGGGGCTCCCACGAGGGGGAGCGGGAGAGTTTCAGCCCCAGGTGCAGGGTTGCCCCGGGCCATGGCACTCTGGTTGACCCTGCAGACACGTGATCTAAAGTGTCCATAGAGAGGCCCCCAGGTGGGGGGGACTCAGGGGTAATCACGTGTCCAGGGAGAGCTCTCGAGAGGGAGCTAGAAGGCTCCAGAAGGCGGGCGGGGCTAGGGGCGGAGCCTCCCCGACCATAGGGGGATATAAGGCGGGTCCCTGAGAGGGATTGGGGTTTGCTGCATTCTACAAGCTGTAGCTCCATGTCCACCAACTGAAGCCCTACATCTCAAGCTGGAAACTCTATGTCTTCGAGGCAAATACGTGGTCGCGGACCCAAGTAGGGACCCTACCCTTCGTAGCAGTAACTCTGTATAGTGTAGTTAGCTGGGTGGTCACCACAGTAGGCTGGTGAAGGGGCGGTGAAGGGGCAGTTACCCCTTTGTGTTACGGTGTTACAAATAAATGTGTTGCCTCTAAAAGGAACAACGTCTGCGACTCAGTTGGACTCACTACACATAGGTTTTCACGACCAATGTACGTGAAGTGTAATTGATGTATATACAGGTTCGGTCGTCGTACATTGTGTAATATAAATGTTGAGCGAAAACCATATATGTATGTTGAACTTCTCTCACACCGTACATAGCCAACCGTGCTAATTGGAGGTGCGGGGGGTAGGACAACAAACTAAAGATAAAAAGCAGTTCCAAAGAAACACGTTATCAATCGAGATGATATAAAAGTGCAAAGCTCCAGTGGCTTCCTCATATAGAAAGGAAGAGTCCTTCAGATGGCCGCAGAAGCGTACGGTGACGATGTGGATGACGATGCGGGCGACGATGTGGACAACGAGAAAGAGGAGGAGGCGAAGGGGGGTGGGGGGGGGGGGGGCGGTGGCGGTCACTCACTTGCCTGCGGCGTACACCTCCGCCGTGTCGAACAGGTTGATGCCGTTCTCGTAGGCGATGGTCATCAGCTGCTCCGCCATCTGTGGGGCGAGCAAGCGTGCGCACGGCAGGCGCGGGGAGATGAGCGCGCGGCGCCGAGACGCGAGCCCACGCGGCGGCCGTGACACTCGTCGCCTCGCGACGGCGAGGGCCCGAGTTCGATTCCAGAACCCGGGCAACCTCTCTGCGTGGCGTCTGTGTGTTCTCTCCCTCTTCTGCAGAGTGCGAGTGTGTGCGAGCCTGTGCGAGTGTTTGTGTGTGTGAGCGAGTGGAGTTTGTAAGATCTCCCCCTGTTCTGCAGTGAGTATAGTTTGCATGTTCTCCTCCTGTTCTACAGTGCGAGTGAGTAGATCATCTAGTATTCCTCCCGCTATGGGTGTGGCTAATAAATCACGTGCCCACTTATTCAGTCCTAACTGAGAGAAATAAGGGCGCTGGTCGTATCGACGCATCAATTAAAAGAAAAATTAGAAATCTGTTCCCACGCGTGCAACACACAAACATGCTCAAGTTCGACGACACACGCACATGTGTGTGTGTGCTCCCGTCACCCACCTCCCTCTTGTCCCTGTCACACCCCTGGCCCCCCCTGCACCCCCCACTCCTGCACCCCCCCCACGTGTATTTAATTTTTCAGGTGTCCCTACCTCGTCTGTGATTTGCCCTCCAAACGTCACCCACGTGCCTGTGGGGGGAGGCAACGTGACAACGACAACAACCAGAGTGAGATCATTGTTAGCGATGCGGCGTGGCCGTAACCGCAAGCGCGTGCCGTCAAGGCACCACCTTCAGCATCCTGACGTCCTGGGTTCTAGCCCGACGTCGTGTAGCTCACTCCCGTTAAATTTGGTTGTGGGAATTGCTCTTCCAACTTTTTTTTACTAACCTATTTTTTTTCTTTTACCAGGTAAAGCCCGCCGAGCTGCATCTGTCTTATTCAGAAGCGACCTGGCCGCAAATGATAGCGCAACGAGGTGGTGGCTTATCATGAGGAAATTGATCGCAGCCACATACTCTGAATAGGTGATGTTGATTCTAAATGTGGAGGGAAAAACCAGAGGACCCGGAGAAAAATACACATGACCACGGGGAGAGAGACATGCAAACTTCAAATATACAGGCGTCAGGGTCGGGATTGAATCCATGGCCTCCTGCATACCAAGCGTGGTAGTTAACAGCTCGCCACCGTGGCGAGTGAATTAAGAGTGTCGAGTTGATTCGATTTGTTACACGGGTGATGGACCAGTTTAGTAGCCAGTTGCCCCGCTATGTTACACGGGAGATCCTTGGGTGCAGCAACAAAACCAAAAGACAACAAAGTCAACATTGCAAAGAACGAGCACCGATAACTGTAACAACAGTAACTGGTGCATCCGTTAGACAGAACGCTCCCACAGGTGACATTGTCGTCCGTTTGGCCCTTGTCGGGTGGTGGAGGTTCTGGTGACAAAAAATCCAACCAGATCGTCACGACGTGGCCCTCACCAAAACGTCAATTTACGAACCCTTCGAGACTTTCTGTACGTTCCGGTAACGTATTTTTTCTTTAATTCAACTGTGCTGCGTCGAGCTCTGACGTGGTCTCATCACCGCAGCTTGGGGGGGGGGGGGGGGGGGGGGGGGAAAGGGGCTCGGCGTGCTCCCAGGTGTCTTTTATACAGGTAACGAGTTGAGATTAAGAGCACACTCTTAAAGGGAGTGCTCCTAATCTCAGCTTGTTACCTGTATAAAAGACACCTGTCCAAAGAAGCAATCAATCAATCAGATTTCAAACTCTCCACCATGGCCAAGACCAAAGAGCTCTCGAAGGATGCCAGGGACAAGATTGTAGACCTACACAAGGCTGGAATGGGCTACAAGACCATTGCCAAGCAGCTTGGTGAGAAGGTGACAACAGTTGGTGCGATTATTCGCAAAAAGAAGAAACACAAAAGAACTGTCAATCTCCCTCGGCCTGGGGCTCCATGCAAGATCTCACCTCGTGGAGTTACAATGATCATGAGAACGGTGAGGAATCAGCCCAGAACTACACGGGAGGATCTTGTCAATGATCTCAAGGCAGCTGGGACCATAGTCACCAAGAAAACAATTGTAACCACACTACGCCGTGAAGGACTGAAATCCTGCAGCGCCCGCAAGGTCCCCCTGCTCAAGAAAGCACATATACATGCCTGTCTGAAGTTTGCCAATGAGAACATCTGAATGATTCGGAAGACAACTGGGTGAAAGTGTTGTGGTCAGATGAGACCAAAATTGAGCTCAATGGCATCAACTCAACTCGCCGTGTTTGGAGGAGGAATGCTGCCTATGACCCCAAGAACACCATCCCCACCGTCAAACATGGAGGTGGAAACATCATGCTTTGGGGGTGTTTTTCTAAGGGGACAGGACAACTTCACCGCATCAAAGGGACGATGGACGAGGCCATGTACCGTCAAATCTTGGGTGAGAACCTCCTTCCCTCAGCCAGGGCATTGAAAATGGGTCGTGGATGGGTATTCCAGCATGGCAATGACCCAAAACACACGGCCAAGGCAACAAAGGAGTGGCTCAAGAAGAAGCACATTAGGGTCCTGGAGTAGCCTAGCCAGTCTCCAGACCTTAATCCCATAGAAAATCTGTGGAGGGAGCTGAAGGTTCGAGTTGCCAAACGTCAGCCTGGAAACCTTAATGACTTGGAGAAGAACTGCAAAGAGGAGTGGGACAAAATCCCTGCTGAGATGTGTGCAAACCTGGTGGCCAACTACAAGAAACGTCTGACCTCTGTGATTGCCAACAAGGGTTTTGCCACCAAGTACTAAGTCATGTTTTGCAGAGGGGTCAAATACTTATTTCCCTCATTAAAATGCAAATCAATTTATAACATTTTTGACATGCGTTTTTCTGGATGTTTTTTGTTGTTATTCTGTCTCTCACTGTTCAAATAACCTACCATTAAAATTATAGACTGATCATTTCTTTGTCAGTGGGCAAACGTACAAAATCAGCAGGGGATCAAATACTTTTTTCCCCTCACTGTACATCAACAGCGGTAAAATAATGACGACTGTCATCATCACCGTAATGAAAACAAACATCTTTCATGAAGGCAAAAGTTGTATGGCTATGATGGTGATTTAAAAGTATATCAAGCTTGAGGAACGTGAATCACGGGGCAGGTAGAACCACCGGGATCGAGCCCAGGCCCTTCCCGGCGGTGCCACCGCGGCTCTCGACCGCCACACTCCGAAACAAAAGGCCGCCGGGGTAACACGGCCACAGAGACCCACGAAAAGGCTGACTGGAGGACCCAAGCGTTCCATCCGTTGCGAAAGCAAGCGTCGTCCGTTTAGTTATTTATCGCTCGCTCTCCACGGTGTCGGCACGTTATGAAATTTTGTACATCCCGAAGCTCTCCGCCCTTCACCCCGCTCCCCCCCCCCCCCACCCCACCCCCCCCCCCCCCCCCCCCACGTGACCCGGGTGGCTGCGGGGGCCGAGCGCGATCACTTCACAACAACTTCCACCTCGCCGTCCTACACCTGCGCGACCTCCCCCCCCCCCCCCCCATACGCTGATATTCATTTAATTAGAAACCTTTTCGCTGCTGAGTGTCAACGCGTCTTCCAAGACTCGGTCACAGGGTTATGATAATGATGAGAACAACAATGGCTAAGACCTGCCATCAAAGCTCTGGACGTTGCAGTAAAGAAGGTCGCCTCTGTCCATCCAGTAGTCAAAATTTACACGGCTGAAGACTAAAACTATAAACCATTTCTATTTTACCTGGTAGGGCCCCACTGAGTGTTATATAGCTCTTTTTGTCGAAGCGACCTGGCCACAAATGATAGCTGATCACGTGGAAATTTCCAGCAGCCAAATACTCTAAACGCATTGTTGATTGTAAATGTGGGGGGGGGGGGGAACTGGAGGACCTGGAGAAAAATCCACCCAGCCACGGCGAGAGAGACGCGCAAACTCCAAATATACAGCAGGGGTCAGGGTCGGGATCGAAGCCACGACCTCCTGCAAACCAGGTGAGGTCGCTAACATTTCTGCACCGTGGTGCCCCTAGGTCACAGGTCACGTGAGGTGGGGTGAGGTGGGGTAAAGTGTGGGTACTCCCACCTCTTCTAATATGTCTGGCCAGCATGGAAGAGTAGCCCAATTACTCTCTCGAGAGATCCCTCTAGTGGAGGCCCTTTGGCCAGTAGTGGTGCGAAGAAAGCAATTACAGCCCTACACCTTTACCTTTCCCTAAACAATATGATGAAGACATCATCAATGCTGTTACCAATGACAGCATCGATGAAATTGACGATGTCCGTAAATTTACAAGGGATAACCTCCCGATTTTTTTCTCCCACTAACCTTTTTTTTAACTGTCAGCTTCAGATTTCATTCGTGGGAACGACATGAACGTTCGTCAGATACCCTACTACTCCTCCTCCTCCTCCTCCAACATGGCAATGCCAGACCGCAAAGACAAAGATGCCCCGTGTAGCCTTAACAGACTTGGGGCAAGTGCTGTTAGCGTACACTTATGGAGGCCAGCACAGCACACGAGGGGGTGGGTGGCCAGTACCACGCCCGGTCAGTGGCGATGTTTACACACCGCACCAGGTACTCATTTGAGTCTGAGTCGATCTAGGGGAGGCCCAGGACTGGTTAATAGCGCAGTGCGCTAACTGCTGCAATACCGCTCCCCACATAGACAAAAAGACAAAGAGCCCCCGTATAGCCTGAACAGATTGTTGGGGCAAGTGCTGTTTGCGAGCACAAACACACGTACACAACAACCGCGATTCGCCACCAAGTGGCGGTGATGTCACCACGACGCTTGTGTCAGGCCATGTGCACCTTGAGGCCACGTGAAGTGTCGAACGCCCGCTGGCAGGAGGTCACGGGGCAGACCCAAGTGCCACGGGTCGACTGACTAAGATGACTGAGATGGCTGGCTGATGCACCACCTGTGCTCCCTACTGTGCCAACCTGCTGTGCTTTAGCCACCCGGCGCGCCGCTCGTTGTTGTGAGCGTCGCTCCTCCGCCCTCCGTTGTTGTTGGAGGGCGACTGCCTCCAACTGCCCAGTAGCATCCTTCACGAGCCTCCTCCAGAGGCTGATCTTGACACCGCTGGTACCAGTCATCGGCAAGTCCACTCAGCTCCACGTCCTCCTGTACCACATCACTCCATCTCTTTTCTAGCCCGTGCCGCACCCGTTTAGCCCCCTCGATCCGGCCGAACAAAAGCTGTTTGCGGCATGCGGTGGCTGGGCATGCAGGCTACATGACCCAGCCAATGCAGCCTTGCCTGCCGGAGGAGCTCACCGATGGGATCTTGTTGTGAGCTCCTCACACAATCCAGCCTGGTTAAACCCAGGATGGATCGTAGGCAGGCTAGCCTAAATGTTTCTAACCGGCGAATATGTTCCATTAGGGGGATCCACGTTTCGCGAGTGTAGAGTAGGGAGGGAATGACCGTGGCCGAGAAGACCTGAAGCTTAGTGCGGAGCGACAGACCAGGTAGCTTCCACACAGCGTTATGAAACCGATTAAAAGATATTGCCGCTCGACTGATTCGGAGTGAGACCTCTGCTGTTAAACTGGAGCCGGTCATAAGCACACTGCCCAGGTATGGGAAACTCTCCCCTCTCTCCACAACTGCCCCATCACCGATTGGGAGTTATGGGGGTGGAGTGTCCGATGGTACAAAATACCAAGGCAGGTGCTTAGTTTTGGTGGGGCTGATGGTAAGGCCCCATTCTTAGTGGCACACTCCAGTCTCAGCAGCAGCGTCTCCAACTCCTCCTCTGAATGAGCAGCTATTACCAATCATCGGCATATATAACGTGCTTGAGCAATAGGGAGCCATTCCTTGACTGCACCCGGGCATCGATCAGCCTCCCATTATATCTGTACCAAATGGACATTTCCCCGGTACACCTATTTAAGGCTTCACAAACTACGTGGTCAAAATAGATGTTAAATAATGTGGGAGCCAGAGGACATCCCTGTCGCACCCCAAGGTGTACAGGGAATGGCTCTGACTCCCGGCCACGTAGTTTTACCCGGGCCCGCTCACCATCATGAAGGTCCTTAATAATCGTGAGCAGAGGGTCAGGGACTCCAAAAGCACGAAGAACAACCCAGAGCCCAGGCCTACTGATGGTATCATAGGCCTTGGCCAGGTCAATAAAGCAGAGATGTAGGTCTTGCTGGAATTCCCTACACCTCTGCTGCAGCAGACGGACAGAAAATATGGCATCTGTGCAGGACCGCCCTTTCCTGAAACTGCATTGGGGCTCCGCAAGCCTCTCCTCAGCGTGCCTGGCAAGGCGATGTTGAATAATCCTTGCCAGGACCTTTCCCGGCACACTGAGGAGTGAGATGCCCGTGTAGTTGTTACAGTCTGTGCGGTCCCCCTTCTTAAAGAGGGGGACACAACCAGGGCATCCTTCCAATCCTGCGGAACCCGTCCAGTGGTGCAGACGGTTGTTATGATGTCATGTAGGGCAGTCTGTGCACAAAGCCACACACGAAGAGCCCGAGACCATCAGAGGCCACCGCGCAGTCTGGCACAGGTTGGACTCTGCCGCCACAACGTCCACCGCGCCAGCCCAGGCCTGGCACTGCCCCCACTCTCACCCGCTCGGCCCCCCACGAAGGACGGACGATCGGCGCAGGAGGCATTGCGGAGATGCAGCCGCCGTACAGAATGCTGTTTGCCGATGGCTACGAATTTTTTATTTTTTTTTCCCCTCCCGCGGGGAGAATTCCGGCTCTGGTTCCATGGCTGGCTTGAGTGCCAGCCGTGGACCCCGGCGATTTTGACGAGTGGCCAAACCGCTCGTGAAGTCTCGACGACGTGCGGGTGGGGTAACGGTCTAAATAAAATAAAAGGTTGTCGAGAAAGGTGATATAATACGTCAGACAGACGCGTTTCTCATCTGCTGCTGTATGCCAGCCGCCTAAGCCCCACCGTCTCTCGCGCGCGGTGTGGCACGGCACGGCACGAGCCGATCTCGTCCGCTCTGTCTCCGCGACGGTTGTCCTTCCGTTGGTTGACACTCCATCGCCAGTCTTGTCCATGGGCCATCGTTCCACCCCCCCCCCTTCCCAGTAATGGTCGCCTGCCCAAGACCACTTACTATTTTTTGTTTGTTTAGTTTGTTGTTCTTCACCCCGCACCTCCGATGAGCACAGTTGGCTACGTACGATGCCGAAAAAGTTCAACATACATAGCGATCCTTTTGGCTCTCAAATGTAATTTATAAATGGGTCTCTCCATGATAAATGTAAAAATAGGAGGCATTATATGTGGCGACAAACCTTGCAATTATGCTGTCAAGAAAAAATAATTCCGCGCGTTCGCATGCTCGTACGTCAGCGTAACGTGGTATTCTTCGTGATGCTCTAAAAACTTAAAAATAGATAACCGTTGGGGTCAAAGGGGAGTCAGAGGGCAAGGGTTCTACTCACCAAGGCCCAGGCATGACACGCGGAGGCCCGACTTTCCTAAATTCCTGCGAAGACAACGACAAGACGGGTGTTCAAGGCACGCACAACACGAACGCTCAACGCAAAACTCATGACCCACAACCGTTTTCTGTCCGCTGCTATGCTGCGGCGCACGCCAAGACGGTCTCGTGGACGACGTTACTCCTACACCGGCTGGTTCAGCATGTTACGAGCCGCCGCCGCCGTCACTTAATCGATCTCACCGTATAATCGTTCGTGATAATTTACAGCCCTTTTTCAATACACTGCTGTTGGTAGTGCAATCGCTGGGGAATGAGGATTTGGAAGGCCTGGGACCGGTTTAGATATCTCTCGCCACTGATGTAAGCCGTGGCCGAGAATAAAACTCGGCTCGCCGGGTTCATTGCGCTGTGCGTCGCACCACTCCGCCATGGGTACCCGCCCCCCCGCCCCCACCTCAACTGATTGTAAACATTCACGGATTCGTTTGGGGAAAGATATATTGCAACAATCAAAAGTATAGAAATGCCCCTTCGGCCACGAAATCGTCTGGGAGACCTTTGCAGAAGGGTTCTTTCATGAAATGTTTAGTCGGTGCCACAAGTGAAGCGTTTACACCAATGGGGGCGAGGAAACCGGGGTGTACGCGGAGAGAAAGCTCACCATGCATACGAGGACACAGGTTAAAAAGATCGACAAGCTTTGTTGTAAAGCTTGGGCTGCAAGGTGGCGGGGCCCACGCGTACAACATCCAAGTCACTCCCTCTCCGGTAGTCTGTCACCTCCCCTGTCGCTATGACGACGGTTTCTGTTCCCGTGAAGATCAACCTGACCTATTTCATCACATCCACACTATGTTCAACACACCACCCTACTTGCACGTCTTAACGCTACGCTCACTCGCTCATCCAAAAAGACAAAAGATCCCCGTATCGCCTTAATAGGCTGTTGGGGCAAGTGCTGTTAGCGAGCACCTATGAAGGCCGGCACGGCACACGAGGGGGTGGGTGGGCAGCACCACGCCCGGCCGCCTTTTGTCTCCCCAGTGGTGATGTTTACACATCGCACCAGGTACTCATTTGAGCCCGAGTTGCCCTGGTGGAGGCCCAGGACTGATTCAGATATTCGTCACTGGTGTTGGCCGTGAGCGGGAATCGAACTCGGGTCGCCAGATTCGTAGCGCAGCGCGTTAACCGTTGCACGACCGCTCCCCACCCACCCATTCATTTACTTATCCACCCACCCACCCATTCACTCACCCACCCTCCCGCTCACTCATCCACTCACTCACCACACTGCAACAGATCACAATACTTCTCGTTCTGCATCGTCCCCGCACTGCTCCACTTTTGAATTCCCTTCCCCCATCGTCTCTTTCCCCACCCCCTCCCAAGTTCTTAAAATAATCTGGCTCAAGTTCAAGACACGTGTTGACTATCATCATCCATTACAACTTTGAGAGTGCCATTTGTCACCGACGGCTTGGCATTTTGGGCCTTTTGCGCTCAGCAACAGTGATTAATAAAACGTGCCAGACGCACGGCCTGTGAGAACAGGTTTCTGACCACTCTACCAACCATTAGAGGGCCGTTAACCCGCAACCCTGTAACCTGTTTTGAGAACCGGTTCGCGGGTTCCGATAGGCAGGAACTCGTAACCGATTCCAGTCAAACTTTAGTCGGGAAAGGCGGGCGTACCCACACTTTACCCACCCACCATCAGCAACCTGCTGGTCGACAGCGATGTACCCACAATAAACTTGCGCCATTGTTTCAGACTCGCGCGCGAGTGCTCCCTGTCATTGCCACGTTCACCTTTTACAATCTGCACTGCGGCGAGCGGTACCCCCCCCCACTTCACGTGACCTGCACGTCGACCAACTGTGTCGTACCCAATTCGTCCCAGAAGATCCCTGGATTTGATCCTCCACGAAACTCATGGTCCACTCCTAAACCGCATCCGCACAAAGCACGGCAGATGCGGGATACCTGATGCACAAATGAAAAATGCAACTCTCCAGAGCGACTGTGGTAATCCAGAACAGACCGTAGCAGCGTATGCCGACGCAATGGCCGGTCCACAGACACGAAGGAGAGACATCGGCAACGGTACGCTCCGCTGCTCCTGACGCGGCTGCCTGGGCTTGGCCACCTCTGTGTGAAATTGCAGCTGTTGCTCTGCAATCTAACATCAGCGGCCGTACGACGGGACGAAGAAGAAGAAGAAGATCCCGAAACCCACCGCCGTCGTTTTGACTGCCACGCCCGTGCGGCGAACCTCCGGGATAGCAATTCCGGCGCGGGAAAAAAAAAAACCACGTCGGGCCCCGGCAAGTTCCCTGTCGTTTGTCACCGGAATGCGAGAAACCATTGCCGCGTTTTATTTTTCTGCTGTAGACATTTTGCGCGTGCATGTGGGAAAGCCGTTTTTACATCATTATTTTTCCCATGAGGTTACCGGTTATGCAAACAGTAAAAAAAAAATACAACACCTATACCATTTGTCCCTCAGTGGAAAAGTTAGTTTTTTTTTTCCAGACCAATGTCCAGCAGCGTTTCTTTAACCAAGCAAAGTATTTATGAGACAGGTTTGACCTTCAGGGTGTCATCAGCAAGTCAGGCCCCATTAAACAAAACGTGGCTGGGTTTGCCAGACGCGATTGGCGAGAGCACTCTGGTTGCCCAGCTGGGGTCACGAAGTCAAAGCACATTTTTTATTTAGAAATATTAATAGTGCTGTCGCTGGGATTATTTCACAATCGTCGCTGGATAATTCCTACGCCGCCTCTTTTGGAGCGGACGTTTTGCCAACCCGTTGTCCCCGGTCGAATCAGTAAGTGCCAGGGCCCCCCCCCCCCTCCCCCTCAAATGAGTAGCGTGCAACATCACACACGACCACCTTCACACCAAAGCCCCAACCGCAATGACCGGCTTGGTGAAGTATGGTCAACCAATACCCCGTGCAACCTGCTTGGCTCAGCTCGGGAAGGCCATCCAGGAGTGGACTGATACATTATTATTCCACCCACCCATTATTAATTATTATTATCATCATAATAATCATGAATAATGGGTGGTTGGGTGGCTGGGGGCCGACGATAACTCTCTGCTGCCGTACTGCTCATGGGTAACCACTGGAGAGGAGAGGAGGGCAGGAGGTGGTGGGGGGGGGGAGGTGGCTGGATGGGATACTGAACATCACGGAGGAGGAGAGTTCGTCCGTCGCAGCTTGCGAACACAGCGAGACGTATTTCCCATCATTCAAAAATAACGCGGCGCTACGCCTGGGCCTCTACCACGGCGGCACACCGGTTGAGACCACCAATTTGAAGCGCTGAGAAAACGTGTCCGTCCCGCGTAATTCAAGAGCTTCGGTACCGTGTGCTGCTCCGTTGGACATCTCGGCGTGTGCCGTGAAAAAAATCTCTCCCCGTTTCCCAGCCGGCACCGCCCCCCCCTCTACCCCCGTTGCGAAGCGCCTCCTCCTCGCGAGTTAAGATGCACGAAGCGTCCGGCGGCTTACCGGGGCCCCCAAGGTGCCCAACGACGCCTTGCGAGCGCTTGCCCAGCCGCCGCGGAAGCCGCGATTAGACGACCCGGGGGTCGAGAGGAACGCCACGGAACTCCCCGCAGCAGCGCGGCGCCCCCCCGGGGGGGCCCCGGGGAAACCAGCCGCGCGAAGTTTGCGCGAGCGTCGTGAATGTAGGCGGGGAAGTTGCCGCGGTCGTCGGAAGGCTGCCTCCAGGAGGCGGGCGCAACGCGGAGGGGCGCGTGGGGTCTGGTCTACGCGAGCGCGAGTCCGTTAGTTGGTGTGAGCACACGTGCGCGCGCAGGGTAGTGTAGGGGAGCGGTAGCGCGGCGGTCAGAGCACCGCGCTAACAACTCGGCGACCCGAGTTCGATTCCCGCTCATGGCCAACACCAGTGACGATTATTTGAGTCGGTCCTGGGCCACCCCTAGGTCGATTCGGCCTTACACGAGTACCCTGTGTGGTGTGTAAGCATCGGCACTAGGAAGACAAAGGCGGCCGGGCGTGATGCTGGCCACCCCCCCCCCCCCCCCCACCCCACCCCCTCGTGTGCCGTGCCGGCCTTCATAGGTGCTCGCTAACCGCACTCGCCCCAACGGGGTGTCTATGTTTTGTGGGGTAGTGTTGGCGCGCACGAGTTGGTTGATGCGCATGTGCGTTGCGAGTGTAGTTGCACGTTGCGCGTGCGCTTGTGGTTCAGCACGCACGCGTCTATTTCGTTGCTGCCCTGCGCACTCGATTTCATGCTCGCTCGCTCGCGCGCCGCGTGATCGTGCGAGCGCAGGATCAGATTCATGCGAGCAATGTTCACAGCCTCCCCGCCGCCGCCGCCGCCGCCGCCGCCGCCGGGCGTCGGTTAAAACAAAAGACCTCGACAACAACCTCGGAGAGATCGCCGGGCTGCGTGCATGCCCCATTAATAAGTGTGGGGGGCTCAGGTTCTCCAGCCACCCCCCCCCTTGCCCTCCCCTGGCCTCGAGCGATGTCCGCAGCGCAAACAGCACGCCGTTAATCCGCCTCCCGCTCAAGCGCGAAACGAACTCTCCAGGGAAAAATACAGAGCCGCTTGTAATATTGGGGGATAAATCATCGGGAGACTTTCCGCCCGCCCGCCCGCCCGCCCGCCTGCCCGCCCGCCCACACACGGCATATCCTTTTGGGTGCCGCTCGCTAGTGCTCCGCTTCTGGCCGACCAAGTGAGGGAGCGACCACCACCCCCCCCTCCCCGCCCCAATCGAGTGCTCTCTTCACCACCATCGTTACCCCGGCGTGGACGAGGCGCTCTTCGGCTGCTGCGTTTTTTTCCCGGGCCGCTGGAAAACAGACCAGTGGCGTCCTGGGCTGCTCCGGTGACAGCTTCGCTGAAGCCTCGTGAAAGCGAACGGTGGTGGTGGGGGGTTTGGCGACTGTGCAGATTTTTCACCGTAGGGTACCGCGTGGTTGAAAAGTGGTCGTCAGGAGGATGTATGGTGGAGCAGAAGGAACCGCTTAGAGAGGGCACCCCGTGGAAAATAATTCACGGTTGCGCGTGCGTGTGGGGTGCCACAGTGGCGAGATGTTTATAACTACACCTCGCCTGGTATACAAGAGGTCGTTGATATTCTTAGCTCTTTCGGTAAAGTCACGTTGAAGGGAAACAATAAAATAATAAAATATATAAATAAAAATTCTCACGACGTTTCGACCATAACACAAACGGTCGTCATCAGGTGTGAAAAACCAATGGCAAAATTTAAGAGGTCGTTGGTTCGATCCCGAGCCTGACACCTGTATATATGGAGTTTGCGTGTCTCTCCCCGTGGTCGCGTGGATTTTTATCCGGGTCTTCCGGTTTCTCTCTACACATTTAGAAACAACATCACGCGTTTTAGAGTATCTGGCTGCTATAAATTTGCACGTGCTGAGCCACTTTGTTGAGCTATCATTTGTGGTCAGGTTGCTTTTTAAAAAGTACTATATATCTCAGTGGGCCTCATCTTTAAAAAATATATATTTTAGTGTGCGCATATGTTTACTGGATGGTGTGACTTGAGACTCATCGTCAATGAAATGATATACTGCCTTAGCATCAGCAAGCTGAGAAAAAAAAAAAGGAAAATTCAATTATCGCGTTAACAGCCGACGCTAACGACACAGATAATGAGATAGCCGCCCCAGCTGTCGCAAGCCTCCTCATCATCAATACGATGATCATCATCGTCATCATTACCCAGAATAATGACGACAATATAAACTATCTTCCTTCGCTGTGATACGCGTGCCGTGCTATTATGAGCGACGCCTTGAGACGCAGCTGCGATGGAAAGGCGTTACACGAATCCCATTGTGGCGATGCGACAGAGTCAGAAAATGTATTTATACTGGAGGAATCCGATGAGCTACAAAGCTCTTTTTGTCCCACAGATGTCCAGTAGGGGCACGGGGTCAAAACGTTACAACAACAAACAATACAAAAACACAATAGGAGTACAAAGTAAAGGATAAACAAATCGCCTAAAAAAAATAACAACAACAAATAAAACGATTTTTTTTTTTTACCTTACCAGCTAAAGCTCAGAAGAGACCTGGCCCACAAACGACGGCTCGACACAAAGCGGCCCCGTCACGTGGAAACTTTATCGCGGCCAAATAAATCGGAGCAATCTGAACGCGGGGTTCGTCGCGCCGCGCTCGGCACGTCCGCGGGTCGGCGCATCCGTGGAGGGCGTGAAGCATTAAGGAGGTTAGCGGCACGAACGCCGCACGGCCGAGTGGAGAGGGAGTCGACTGATGGAGAGTCGCGAGGGATGGGGGGGGGAGGGCGCACACGTCAAATGGGACGCGTTATTAAAAAAAAACCGCGGAGGCGGTGTACGAACCGGACGCGCGCAGACGGCGGGGCAAGAGATCGCGAGCGTTCGGAATGAGCGTAGGCGCGGTGGACGCGGCCCCAAACGCCACCCGTTTCAGAGGTTGGCGGTCCCGACCCCGGCGGCCGCCCCGGTTAACGCCGTGGGTTGCCGGTAACCGTCATGAACGCCGCGCGCCAACCGGTTCCCGTGGCGGCACGTAAACGATGCCGTTTGGACGTCGTTCGGGGGGAAAAAAAAAGAGCAACCCAAATCAATTGGGAATAAGCGCAACAACATCGCCCACCCCCCGCACCCCGCCCACTGCGAAAACGACTGCAGAGTGTGCGTGTCAAACGTAGTGCCTTCCTTCGCGGTAACAGTACCTGGCCTGTAATAATGCGGCAAGTTATATTAGTATTTAAACTATTGTAACAGTTGTTTTTTTTTTACTACTAGGTAAGGCCCACTGAGCTGTCTGCTGTTGTTGTTGTCGTCGTTGTTGTATCCTCAAATCTTGTAACTCAATTTTAACCCACTTCCCAATGTGCTATCGACAGCAAACTCGGTATACTTATGTCATACTGATGACAATACTAGATTCTATCATAAAAAATTAAAAATATATATTTTTAAACATTATTTTTTTACATGTTATGTTTCGGCTTGGGTCTAATTGTCCACGCTCAACTGACGTTGGCTGTATTTGACCACGGTCCCTTACGTTATGTCAAGCTTAGGGGGCCACTTCCTGGAGTCGTGGAGTACTTACATTACTAGTACGGTACATTTCATTAAAGCGTGTTAAAAAAATGTTTAATATTACTTATTCAGAAGCGACCCAGCCACAAATGACAGTGGCTCATAACATTGAGATTTAAATATAAAGCAGGTGTCAAGGGTCGGGATCGAAACCCACAACCTCCTGCATACCAGGCGAGGGAAATAACATCTCGCCAGCGTGGCGCCCCATGATTCTTAAGAACGGGGGATTGGGGGGGGGGCATGAAACGGGCAGAGATGGAGATGGGCGAGTTCGCCTTTCCAGTGACTCGGCGAGAAAGAATATAAATGGGAGGCACCATTGAGAGGATCGGCGCTCACCAGCGACGGTGAGGAACGTTGGAACGCGTCCGCGCGAGTCAAGGGGACAGCGGCGCGTTCACGGGACGCGGAGCGGGGGCGCTAACGAGAGATCACGGTGGCACCAGGAGCTAGCGAGGGAGCGCTCGTCTCCGAGTCGGAGGTGGTCAAGTGGACGGAGCAGTCACATCGACAAATCAACGGGGGGGATGGGGACGTATTAAACACGCTCTGGGTGACACATAAAGACAAAGATTCCCACCCCCCCCCCCCCGTAGCTTGCACAAGCTCTTTGGGGCTAGTGCTGACCGTACTTGACCAAGCTGTTCAGTCCAGTGCAAGGTTGGTGGTTCAATAATAGATTGTAGCTGCACTGCCATCTGCTGCCCACCAG